AATTTTTATGACGATATTTCTCTGCACTCCAGTAGAGAAAAAAGTACCACAGCAAGATGAAGTGACCAAGAGGAAAGTAAAAACTCAGATACTTTCTTATAAACAAATCAATAAGAAGAAATCATAGCAAAGTGTGAGGAAAACATTACCAGCCTTTACTCTTCCTAGATAATAATTATTCATGTGATTATGTTAATCAACCAGAAAAAGCAGCTGACAAATATTACCAAAATGGTAAATAAATCTCATTGTTGAAGACAATGTAGAAAAAATATGTGAGAGAAGAAACGTTAAAAGATTAATAAATATCAGAAAGATAGAACACATATGGTATGAATACTAGTTAAATTAGCATTTTTTATCTGACAAATATTATTGTGAATGTCTGTAGTGGTTATGGGGTTGACTTCTTAACAGGAATTAAATCCTGTTAAAATTAAAATCAGTTTTATGGTTAAAAATTAACCATAAAAATTCTAGAAGAACATAAAGGTAGTTCACTCTTTGACATTGGTCTTAAAAGGATCCCTTTCCAAATACCATGTCTACTCAGAAAAAGGAAACAAAGGACAAAATAAACAAGTGGGACTTCATCACACTATAGAGCTTTTGCGAGGCAAAGAAAACCATCAACAAAATGAAAAGACAACCCACCAACTGGGAGAAAACATTTACAAATCATATATCTGACAATGGGTTAATCTCCAAAACGTATAAAGAACTCATACAACTGAACAAAAACAACCAAAAAAAAATCAAAAAATGGGTAGAGGATGTGAACAGACATTTCTCCAAAGAAGATATACAGATGGCCCATAGGCACATGAGAAGATGTTCAACACCACTAATCATCAGGGAAATGCAAGTTAAAACTACACTAAGATCTCTTACACCCATTAAAATGGCTATAATCACTAAGACAAAAAATAACAAATGTTGGAGAGGTTGTGGAGAAAAGGAAACCGTCATACACTGCTCTTGGGAATGCAAACTTGTGCAGCCACTATGGAAAACAGTATGGAGATTTCTCAAAAAACTAAAAATAGAACTACCATATGACCAAGGTATCCCACTACTGGGTATTTATCCAAAGTACTTGAAGTGAACAATTCAAAGAGACTCATGCACCCCTATGTTCATTGCAGCATTATTCACAATAGGCAATAAGTGGAAGCAACCCAAGTGCCCATCAACTGATGATTGGGTAAAGAAGATGTGGTGTACAATGAAACACTACTCAGCCATAAAAAAGACAAAAGTGCCCCATTTGCAACAACATTGATGTACCTACAGGGTATTATGTTAAGCAAAATAAGCCAGACAGAGAAAGACAAATACCAGATGATTCACTTATATGTGAAAGATAAAGAAACACACAAAAAGAACAGTTTAGTGGTTGACGGGGGCAAGGTGGTTGGTGGGTGGGCACAAAGGGTGAAAGAGAGTATTCATATGGCGACTGGCAAATAATAATGTACAACTGAAATTTCACAATGTTGTAAACTATAATCACCTCAATAAAAACAAAAAAATGAATCTAGATTCCTGCCTCACATCAAAGGCAAAACTAAGTCACAAGAAGGGTATTGTTTCAAATGTAAAAGCCAAATCAGCAAGCCCTTATGACTGATGTAGCTGTGGGTTTCATAAACTAGACCTATTTAGTGCATGCCATTTTGGAAAGCAATGGGAAATTCAGCTACATTAAAATTAACCACTGGGTTCATCCAAAAAACGGAAAAAACTATAAAAGATATCCAAAAACAAGACACATCTAAAAAGAAATGTTCAGTGCATATCACTAAGAATAATAGTCTGATAACATAAAGAAGTCATATTTATCAATTAGAAAAGATAAACAGGTCAACAGATGTACCAAAAACAGATATTTAAGAGTATAAAATAAATATTTGAAAAGGCTATCAACCATATATAGTAAGAAACATACAAATTAATGAAATCATTTTTACACCCATTAGGTTATCAGGATACTTGAAATGTGTTGGTGATGATATGAATCACCAGGGCTTTCTATTGTATTGACTAGGAACAGTTAGAAAAACTTAGAAAAACCTCTTATATCCAATATTACCATCCATATTGTAATACACTCTCTCATTTCCACCAGGAGATATAGAAGAGAATATTTAAACGAGTTTATTTATAATACCATGAAATTGGTTACAAAAGTACAAAATATCTGTAAGTATCAGAAAGGACATCTATTTTAAAAAGATACCATAAATAATGTAAAAAGTCCAGAGTATTGGAAATGAATTATTTCCTGCTACTACAAACATGACCTTGAAACTGCAATAATGAGGAAAACAATCACGATGCAAAATGTAAACACAAAGAATTAACAAGTTGGAAACAGGCAGATTTACAAATCAGACAAGAATACACATGGGGATTATCGATAAGCCAACGATTTTTAGACCTGTTACCTGTTTCATAGGGAAATATGATCAAATATTGGAAATTTCATAAAATTAAACCTAACAGAAAAACGATAAGTGCAGAATTTAGGACAGTGTATGCCACTTGAGATGGGAGTGTTGTGAGTGGGAGATGCTTCAGGTGGGTTCTATAATGATAGCATTGATCTATTTTTAACCCCTGGATAGATTAAAAAAATGTTTTCGTTGTGTTACTATTCTTTCAGGACTACAAGTAAGTAAGTACAAGTAAGTAAGTACAAGTAAGTACAGTACTTAGTATGTGTACTGTTAAAAAGTAAATTGAAGAAAAGTCCTCCCACATTCTTAATTCTAAACACAATCTCCCATATTCTTTTAATATCACATTCGTGCACTTAAGACTTCAGGGGTCATCAGAACCTCACAGGGTGCTTCATAAGGAGGCTCATTCCTCATGTCTCCATAGAGATTCAAAGTCAGTAGTACTTCAGTGAGGTTTGGAAACCCGTCATATGTGCAAAGGCCCCAGGTGATTCAACTCTCCGGGTGTTCTGTGAACATTGATGCAGAAGGCTCTGGACTAGGAGGTAGCATGATTCCCAGGCAAAGCTGTATCCCAGATGTGGTGCTAAAAATAAAACAACCTCCTCAACCTGAAATCGTGACTAGAATACAAGGATCTCCAGTAACTTCTTTTTCTCCTTTGAGACCTTCACTGCTTTCACTCCTGTAGAGAGAATTCTTTGAAGTGATGTGATTACTAGAAATGCGATCCACCTGATTTTGCTAAGTTTCCTTTCTGCTTTCTTGTTTTACACTCAACAACTCCTTCTCACAGTAACATAGTTCTCCATAGAATAACTTCTCTCAGAAAGACACACTAAAAAGGTTTGCATGAGAATCTTGAGTGCAGATAATGTTCTAAGACATCAGTGATATAATTAATTTTATTCAAGTATGATTTTCATGAGGACTCCACCAGAGATGAGTAAGAAACACAACAAGATCAGATAGTTAAGAAGAAAAGTGAGGGGCTTGCCAGGTGGCACTGTGCTTAAGTTTGCATGTTCCACTTTAGTGGCTCCAGGTTAGCTGGTTTGGATCCCGGGTACGGACCTACGCATCGCTTGTCAAGCCATGCTGTAGCAGGCATCCCACATATAAAGTGGAGGAAGATGGGCACAGGTTCTCTCAGGGCCAATCTTCTTCAGCAAAAAGAGGAGGATTGGCAGGATGTTAGCCCAGGGCTAATCTTCCTCAAAGAAAAAAGTGCAAATTCATATATATTCTTATAAATCAGCCAATGAGAAGGTTTCAAAGATAATTACATGCCAGATTACCAACCTTTGCTCTGCCTACCTAAACATTGTTTCCTTTATTTTTACTCAGACCAGTAAAAGAAACTGAGAAATATAACCTAAAAGGAAAATCTACTTGCTGAATTATGTAGTAAAAATTCATGAGAACAGGCGGAATACAAACGTATGAACATAAGCAAGTATGGAACACAATGATACTGGTTAATTTTGTTGAGAACTTGCTATGTGTCAGGCAGTGTCCTAAGTGTTTGCAGTGCTTGTGGAGGTGGGCTTGCAAGCAAGAAAAACACTCCATGTACTCAGTCTAAGACTCTCAAAGTAATCATTTTCTCCACATCAGAAATGAGGTTTAGACGAGGCATATGATCCTATTCACAGCGAAGGGATTTAAAGGTATATATTCTGGATAACTCCATGCAATGTAAGGTATCAATAGACCTAAGGAAGAGAAGTCAAATTTCTCTCTCTGGTCACCATGTCTAGCTATGATGTCTGCATTTGTTGCACCCATCTTGGTCCATGGGGGTAACTGGGAACCACATGGCTGAATAAATGAATTTTCCTCTACATTCCCTATGTGCGAAGTTCTTGTAAGGAGAGACAATTCTCTTTATTGTTTTGGCGTACTAGAATCAGGGTTACTTTCTCTAAGAAGAAACAATATCTTCCTTACTAATCAAGATCAAATACCTGACAATCATCTCTAACCACTAATAATCACATCATAGCAGATTTGATAGATGATAAAACTCAGTGTAGTGGATACTGATGTTGCCCTGCACAGTTGACCAGTGATAGAGCTGAGGAATTACTAAATTGGAGTATGAAAGAATAACTCCTTCCGTGTCTCACAGTAGGCTGGTCTCAGGGGTGCAATTCACATGGCCCTAATTATGTGATCAGACACAGTCGAGTCTTTGCTGTGACCACAGGTTTATTTGATCCTCCCCCTAACCTATTCAACATCTCCCTTTTTTTCTTCTGATGCTCCAACAATACAAGCATAAACCTTGCCTCAGGTCACCTTCTAAGGACCCCACCAAAGACACTGAGCTTAGGGAATGGAACTCATTTTTGAAACACCACAAAGCTACAGAAACAGAAAATTAGGTTTCAACCACAAGTTAAAATTCACTTACTCATTATATTATCTAGTCATTTTGGAAGAAGTTGATGATGCAAGAATCAGGCATTCTGACTTACCAATATTTCTGTCACTTTTATTCATTCTAGAAACCCTAGTTCAAAGCAGGTCACAATGTCACTGAAGAGAAGGTGTCCTATTGATGAGTTTTCTCAAGGCTCCCTTCACGTCCCTGTTCCTCAGGCTATAGATGAAAGGGTTCATCATTTGAGGGACAACAGTGTACATCATTGAAACCACTGCAGTGCTTCTAGAAGAGTTAGTGAGAGCAGAACTAATGTAAACTCCAAAGCCTGTCCCATAGAATAAAGACACTACTGAGAGGTGAGACCCACAGGTAGAGAAAGCTTTATACTTTCCACCTGCTGATGACATTTTCAAAACAGAGGATACTATTCGAGTATAAGAGAAGATGATTCCACACACAGGAATACCACCAAATACACTGGTTGCAAAATATATCAGGATGTTATTGGTGAGGGTATCAGAACATGCAATCTTGATGAGCTGAACAACTTCACAGAAGAAGAGGGGAATCTCCAGGTCTGTGCAGAAGGACAGTTGCAACACCATCAGACTGTGGAGCAGGGCATCCAGAATGATAATAAACAGAGGGAGTAGAATCAGCAGTCCACAGAAGCGAGAGTTCATGATGATTGTGTACCTCAGGGGGTGGCAAATGGCCACGTAGCGGTCATAGGCCATTACGGCAAGAAGACAACTTTCCAAACCTGCAAACACCAGGACAAAGCAGATCTGTGTCAGGCAGCCTGCATAAGTGATGCTCTGATTCTGTGTTTGGATGTTCACCAGCATCTTTGGGATCGTGGTTGTGCTTAAACAGATGTCGTTAACAGACAGATTGGAGACAAAGAAGTACATGGGGGTGTGCAGATGGGAGTCAGAACAGACAGCCAGGATGATGAGCAGGTTCCCCAAAATAGTGACCAGGTACATGGACAAGAACAGGCTGGAAAGGAGGGACTGCAGTTCTGGATCCTCTGTCACTTCCATGAGAAGGAAATGTGAAACATGTGTTTCATTTCTGGGATCCATATTGTTGATGAATCTGATGGAAATGTTAGAGTGACAATATAATCAAATGTATGTTTTCTAGACCAGTAGGAGGAGCATTGCCAAAGGCAAAAACAATCTTGGAGGGCTGGCCTGGCAGCGTAGTTTTTAAGCTCACATGCTTCTCTTCGGTGGCCTGGGGTTCACAGGTTTGGATCCCAGTGCAGACCTAGCACCACACCTCAGGCCATGCCGTGGTGGCATCCCTCATAAAATAGCACAGACGTTAGCTCGGTGACAATCTTCCTCAAGCAAAAGAGGAAGATTGGCAACAGATATTAGCTGAGGGCCAGTCTTCCTCACCAAAAAAAAAAGAAAGCAAACCATCTTGGGAAGGGAAGGAGACTGAAAGAGGGGAAGAAAAATGATGTGTGTATGTATATTATTCTTTTTCTTAAAAAATAAAGCAAAGTTGATATAGCAGAGCGTTAACAATCATTGATTCTGAAAAGGGTTAAATGGTGGTAATTTTGTAAAATTACACTGGCTATGTTGTTCTGATTATTTAAAACCTTTGGTAATTTTATAAGGAGAAACAAATAGACTAGAGAGGCAGCTTGAAGATTCTGTCTGGATCCCCTGAGACCAAAGACAGGCAACTGAGATAATACATAGGTATGTCAAGAACCAGGAATGCAAGATAAGATCAACTTTACCAAATATGCTGACCTCTCACCACAAGATGGTAAGTAAATATCAGAGAATTTTAAAAGTTATCCTGTTTTAAAAATGGCATATTTCTACTCAGGTAGAAATGATCCTGGTCATAGCAATTATTGAATACGAGATTAGTAAATGACAAGTGCTTGAAAATTGGTGCAAAGTACAAGAAAATGTGTAAAGAGCATGACAGACAGGCAGGAGGACCATAGGTGACTTCGTTCTAATCATTTTATATATGTATTTTCTTCACAGCTTCCCCTGGATGAACACGCCCTCATTTCCAAACATTGGCTAAGGGACAGTAGATTACCGGGCCAGTATCACAGTGGAATGATGCTTGACATCTCCTTTGAATATATCATCTTGGATATCTGTCGTCAAGAAGGGCAGAGGGATTGCGTAAGACCTGGGCTGCTGGGTAGGAGGAACCATGTGTGGGAGGAGGCTCAGATGAGCTACTTCTTTTCATGGAAAGGATTGTTGCATGAGGTGGTCACAGGCAGATCGCAATCTCTATGTCCTTAGAGGTTCAATTTCCAAAACTCCTCATTAGCATAGCAATTTTATTGTCCTTGGCTCCCAGGACAGTGCAAATCCTTAAAGACCAAGACTGTAGATGGGAGGAATTCAGAATGGTTGCTTCCCTATGAGATCAGGTTTACACCATCTACTTTTCTCTATCTGTGCCTGCTCATATCCATTTCAAATTTTTTTCAAATATGCATAAACCATTCTTCTTTAATTGGATTCTAATCCTTTTTTTAGGTGTGAACGAAGAGATCTCTATCTAATCAATGACATTGGAAAGTCTGATACCGATTTTAAGTGTGAAAATATAGTTCACATATGTGGATATAAATGACATATTTAAAAATTTTGCTAACTTATTGCAAAATTGGAAATTCTCAGGAGTTTTTCTGAGTAATTTATGTTTCCTGAATATGAATTTTCACTGTGTATATTTATACAATGGATTTTACTTTATTCTCTGTGAAAATTTTGTCTCTGATCAGTGCAGACAGATCTGTTACTTCTTAGTAGATTTTCATAACCATGTTTTCTAATTGTTTCGCTACAGTTTCAATGTACATTTTTGTTCACAATAGGGGACTGCAGTTTGAAATTATGTAAATAAATCATGAATTAATGAGAAAAAGATAAACGAATCAGTAGAAATACCACAAACATATATTTAAAAGAGAAGAAAATGAATATGTGAAAAGACTCTCAATCATATAATAAGAAGAAATGTTCCAATTAATGAAACAGTTTTTGAACCCACTAGATTATCAGTACACTTGAAATATTGGTGATGATAGAGATCATCAGGATCTCCTAATATGTGTGTAATTGATTCAAAAACTTAGGATTACTCTTTGGAACTACCCAAAGAAAAATTCATACTCCTTTATCCACAATAATTTCATTGCAAGTATAAGACTCCATCTCATTTCCACCAAGAGACATATATATGAGAATATTCAAACAGATTATTTGTAACAGCAGAAAACCAGAAAAAACAAAATTTCCATTAATATTGGACAGGATATCTACTTAGAAATGTCACCACGCATAATGTAAAATCACAGAGGATGGGAAATAGTGACTGTCATGCCCAATAACATGATTAAATCTCAAAAGCACAATAATGAGAAAAACAATAGAATGAAAAATTTATACATTTTGATTAAACTTCTAACAAATTTGGAGAAAAGGCAAACTACAAATTGGACAGGAACATATATTGAAGTAATAACACAATGACGTTTAAATTCTATTGCGAGTTTCAGAGGGAAAATATAATCAAGAACTGACAATTTTATAGGACTCAACCCAAGATAAGAACTTTAGAGAAAATAAAGTCAGAATTTAAGATTCTGTTTGCCCCTGGAACCAGAGAGAGAAGCATAAGTAGGAGACCACTTACATGGAGTCTATGTCATGGCATTACTCTATTTTTAACCGAGATAGGTATATCTGTTTTTATTATGTGACTATTCTTTAAGACCTACAGACCGATTTTACACACTATTTGATACATACTATATTAAAAAGCAAAATTGAGGAAATGTCTGACATCTTCCTAATTCTAAGTACATTCTCCCATATTCTTTTATACTGAAGTCATGCAACTCAGATTTCAGAGGTCATCACAATTTCATGGAAAACATTAAAAACACTCATCTAATGTAAAGATTCTGTTTAATTCTTTCAAAGATTTTTATAAAAATGGGTCATATTTTGGGTAAATTTGAAATATACTTCTGAGGGTAAAACTGAATGCACATCCCTCACAAGTTTCATCAGAGGTTCGAAGTCAGTAGTTCTTTCTGTAAGTAAGGGAAACCTCAGTGTGAACACAGGTCTCATGTAATTCATCTCTGCAGCCCTCCTGGGGACCTCAGTGGAGGAAGATCTTCACTAGCAGATATCTCAAGTGCCAGATAGGGAGCTGTTTCCTAATATGGTGCTGAAAAAAACAAACAACACCCCTCCCTCAGCCTCCACTGGCGACCAGAACAGAAAGTTCTCCAGCAAGTCCTTTGATTATCCTTTGAGACCTCCACTGTTTTCACCCCTTCACCCACAGAGGTGATTCAAACATATGGTCCTGCTTTTTTGTGCTTATGGGGAAAGTAATTCTCCTAATCTTGACAATTTTCCTTTTCTCCTCTCTTATCTTACATTCAACATCTCCTTGTCAAAGGAAAGCAGTTTTGCATAGAATAACCTTCCTCATAAAGACACATTAAAAAGGATTGCATTAGAATCTTACATCTACAACCAATCCTCTATGACATCAATGATACAGTTAATTTTATTCAATTATGTTTCTCTGTGTGGACTCCACCAGAGATGTGTAAGATATACAGTAATAAAAGATGGCCAAGGACAAAAGTGAAAACTCAGATATATTCTTATAAATAAGCCAATGAGAATGTTAAAAGCAAATAAGATGCCAGAAGAAGATTACCAACCTTTGCCCTGCCTATCTAATAATTATTTATTTTATTATATTACTCAGACCAGAAAAAGCAACTGATAAATATGACAATAAAAGAAAACAAATCTAATTGCTGAAGCAAGTAGTGAAAATATGGGAGACCAATAGGATTACGAGATTTAAGAACATATAGGCAAGATAAAGAACACAATGATAGTAGTTAAATTTTATTGAGTACTTAGTAGGTGCCAGGCACTGTCCTAAGTGTTTGTAGTGCTCATGGGGATAGATTTCCTAGCAGGAGTTCCACTCCAAATGGTCAGTCTAAGGTTTTCATAGGAATCATTTTCTGCATATCAAGAATTAGATTAAGTAGGTGATATATTATCCTATTTGCAGTGAAGAGATTAAAGGGGATATGTTCTGGATAACTCTGTGCCATGTCAAATAACAACGGAGCCAGAGTAGGACAGTCATATTTCTGTCTCTTTGCTTCACGTCTGGATGTTGCAGTCATGTGAGTTCATGGGGGAATCCAGTCCAAGATATAGAGACGTACAGAGTAGTGAATGAATTTCCCTCTATATCTCCTACTTCTGAAGTCCTTGTCAAGAATATAACTCTCTTTATTGCTTGGGTATATTAGAATCAGGGTTACTGTCTCTTAGTAACAAAGGCTTCATCACTGATAAAAAATCAAATGTTTACAATCATCTCAGACCACTGAGCTAATAAAATTACAGAAATTACGTAGATGATTAAACTGAGTGTAGTGAATGCTGATAGTGCCTTTGCACATATGCAGTTTACCCATGACCAGTATTGTAAATTACTGATTTAGGTATGAAAAATCAGATTGTCCCATGTTTCACAGTAGGCTTTTCTCTGTAGTGCATTCATATGCTGCTGGCTATGAAATTGACAGAATCATGTCTCGATGACCACAAACTTATTTGGATCTTCCCCTTGACCCATCCAACTTCTCTACTTTTCTTCTTCTGTGAATGTTCATACAAAATCACTAAAATCTTTGCCCCAGGTTCAGCTTGATGGGATTGACCAAAGAAACTGAACTTAGATAATGGAACTCATTTTTAAAACATCACAGAGCTATACCAACAGTAAGTCAAGATTCATTCCCAAATTAAAATTCACTTACCCATTATGATATCCAATCACTTTAGAAAAACTTGGTGATGCAAGAGTCAGGCATTCTGGCTCACCCGGTATTTGTGTCACTTTGAGTCATTCTAGAAACCTCGGTCCTAAGAAGATGACACAATCAAGAAGAGAAGGTAATCTAGATACTGATGAGTTTCCTCAAGGTTCCCTTAATGTCCCTGTTCGTCAGGCTATATATGAAGGGGTTCATCATTTGAGGGAAAACAAT